CGTGTAGGTCATTCGCGGTCACCATCTGTGCTGGCCAGCATTCTCCGGAAAAACAGAGCCTACAGGATAAATATGTGTGTAACAGGGGGGTGCTATTACAGGAGCTAGCTCACGTGATCACAGGTAGAGAAGTCCCACTCTAGACTTTCTGCAAGCTGGACAAACACTTAAAGACTCTACAGCAGGGAAGCCGGTACAGTTCCAGCCCAAGGCCTGCAGGAGCCTGTAGGCAGCCCTGGGTATGAGTCCAGCGTCGGGAGTCTGTCTGGCTGGACGGGCCCAGGGCTCTGAGGGCCAGCAGGAACAAGCGCAGCCAAGGGCGGAGTTGAGGAGCAGAGCTGGGACAGGCAGAATGTCCAAGAGTGGAGCACACAGCACTCTGGAGGGAAGAGTTAAGGGTGGGAAAGGGGGAGCGAAACAGAACCCACTTCCTGTTTGTCCCTCCCACGTGCTCAGCTAGTCCAATGTGTCTGTCCACATTGAAGGGCGAGTCTTCCTGTCTCAGCCACTGACTCACGCGCCTGTCTGGTCTGAGGACACTCTCATAGACACACTCAGAAACACTTTCACCAGCCGTCCCAGGATGCCTGCAATTCCATCAAGTTGACACTCAAGATCAACCGTCACCCCTGGACCTGCAGAGAGGTCCTTATGTAGGAGGATTCCTTATTTTGCAAGGTTGTTCTTTCTCTGGATCCTTATAGGGTCCTATGTGAAAGGATATTAAAACTTACCCTTCAGTCCCCTCCCTCCACCCAGACTCGGCTTAACTGAAAGTCAGACATGTCTCCCTCTTTATGTAATAGGTGATATGCAGCTTATCTAGTAATACATATCTTCAAAGTAGAGGGTCACGAGACACTCCTGCAGCCAGACAAATTTGGATCCTAGGACTCAGTGTTCTGCATATTGAACCCCAAAAGCTGATGGTACATAGCAAAGAACTGTGATTTTAGAGACAAAGCTACGAGCCATAGAAATCCTGTGATGGCAAGGATAAGAGAGCTTTAAGTGGCACAGCATCTGTAAGTGCAAGGTGCCCTAATTGTAATAGAGCTGCTCTCTATTAGAGAGATCCCTGCCCCAGAGACCGCCACCCTCCACCCTCCACGTACCCAAACTTATCCTTACTATGGTCTCCTCGGGGCAGCACGAACAGCTCTATTTTATGAGGAGTCCTTCAACATCGCCCTTCCCTCCCACCATTTAGCTGACAGATATGTTCGTGGTCACCTCCTAGACACAACATTGTACTGAAGTCTTCTGTTACTCTTAATGGATTATTAGTGGCTTTTGTTTGTTAGTTTGTTCATGATACAGTGTGTATGCGTGTGTGTGTGTGTGTGTGCGTGCATGCACAGAAGAGAAGCTCCCTTGGTGGAATCTCATGCTTCCATGATCACTTCCCCAGCCAGTCCTCAGGATCCGGGGCACCTGCACATGTTGGCTGACACACTTTCAAGGCAATCCGGGTGCCCGCACCCACGGCTGACCATGTAGCTTCCAGCCTTGCAGTGTGGCACAGCTCGGCCACAGTGGCTGGGCCTCTTTTCTTGTTTCAAGAGAGAGAAAAGGCAAAAGGTAGAAGACCTTTTGCAGTCCACTTACACTGTTGAGGTAGAAGGCAAATGCAAACTTAATAGGAAATTTAAATTTTAAAATAGAAATAGGCATTTTAAATTTTAAAGTGAAGAAAGTTTCATTACTGTACTCCCATCTGCCTTAGAAATGGATTTCTACGGAGTTCTCTCTTTCATGTGGGGGAACGTGGCTATGAAGCTTGAAGCCAAACATGATGCAGTTGAACCATCAGACTAGGTGTAGGGGCCGAAGGGGCAGGAAATCGAAGTGACTGCGGGAAGAACCCACGAGGCATCATCCTTCACCTTCCTGAGAAAGAGCAGTGTTCTTGCCCCAGTGCTGGCTCATGTAGACATTCCCCAGGCCCCAGCACAGGCTGAGCTCAGCCAGCTGCTGACTCATGATGGCTTCCCCACCTGGGCCAACGTGTTAAACTGGAGCCTGCCTAATCCACTGGGGTGCCCTGGGGAGACAGATGGGGACGTTCCCCATCAAGACCCCTTGCTTTTCTCCTGAGTTCTTCCTACTCTGTGTTGTCCTGCGTCTCCCCCATCAGTCAGCCTGGCCTCTGGCATAGCAAACTGTCTAGACCCGCCATCCAGCCTAGTGTGTGCCAGACGACAGGACACAGAAGAGCCCCGCTAAGACCGTACCTGGAATGGATGCTGGTTGGATGGTGACAGCATCTGGCTTTATGCTTTGCTCAGGTCAGAGCAGCGTAGAAGAGCTGGCTGTTTCTTGATTTAACCCCCTCGTCATCTTTCATCCATGTCCAAAATGAGTGAAAACCCTGACAGCCTTGGTGCATCTCCGAGCGTGCTCCCAGCTACTAAACACTGCAGCCCACGTGCTGCCTTTGCTGCCCGAGGTATCCTGTGTCTGGGTACCTAGCCCTGGCACGGTGTCACCTCCGTTCTGAGACAGGCAAGGAAACAGAGACCAGAGGTTGAGGTATAGCCAAGGCTTCACATCCAGTGAGGCACAGATTTTGCCCTGGACCAGGTTCTGACGCTTAGTCCAAGGGCTCTCCATCGAACAGTTGGACTCCACCTGCTAAGAAGAAAGTGTGGGGACCAGCAGATGGCATAATGGTTACGCTGCTGGACTCCCACATGGCCAACCATGGTTTGAGTCCCAGACTCTGCAGCTTTAACTCATGCTGAGAGTGTGTGCATGCATGCCCAAAATCCCAAGAAGAGACTGAAGGAGAAGGGATTGCAGTGTGGCCATCCCCCCAGGGGGAGGGGAAGTGATTTCTTGCCTTATGTTTCTCTGGCGAGTGCACATGCCCTATAGCAAAAATTTCTCTTAAAAAAGGAGTGTACTCTTGGGAACCAGCAGTTAGCGTAATGGCTATGTCACTGGACCGTAGTCAACCGCAGTTCACATCCCGGACCAGGTAGCTTAGGACTCACGCCGGGTGCATGTGCGTGCGTGCCCAAGATCCCAAGAGGAGAAGGGATTGCGGTGTGACCACCCCCCTGGGGGGTGATTTCTCGCTTTCTGTCTCTATGTCTCTCTCTGTCTGTCTGGCGAGCGCACGCGCCCTATAGCGAAAACCTCTCTAAAAAAAGTGTACACTCTAAGAGTGTACTCTTAAAAAAAAAAAAAATGGAGTGTGGCTATCTATAGACATTGTCCTCTCTCTGACTTCTGACTTCCCCAGAGTTGATGGTGGGCACCCATGAGGCACTAGTCATAAAATATTCTCTTTTGAAACTTCCTAGAAGTTTCTACCATTATAACTAATAAAGATGTTGGGGACCAGCCGGTGACGTAGTGGTTAAACCACCGGACTCCCACGTGGCCAACCAGCCAACCACAGTTCGAGTCCCAGACCTGGCAGCTTGTAACTTACACTGGGTGTGTGTGGATGCATGCCCAAACCCCAAGAGAAGAGTAGAGGAGGAGGATTGTGGCATGGCCATCCCCCCTTTGGGGGGGGTGAATTCTTAATTTCTATCTCTCTGTCTCTCCAGCAAGCACACACATTCCATGGCAAAAACTTCTCCTAAAATTAAAAAAAAAAAAAAGATGTTGGAAATTGAGAACTCGAGGAAAAACTCCCATCGGCACAGAACAGGTTCTCTCACTGTGGTACTAGTCATCTGTATTTACTACTTTTAAAAAGCACTAAACCATCACTTCTTTATTTATATGGGCATTTTTCTGGCTAAGGATGAAAACTGCTTAACACACTCTGGATCCTTAATAATGTTTTAATATTAGTTGTGTTGTTAATTATAGTAAATAGCAGATAAGTAGGGAAATTTTGCTATTAACCTTCTAGCTAGCATGTCTGAAAGATGTATCTTCTTCATTTTTCTGCCACAATTCCTCATGGGGGCTTTTTTGAAACTGGGAAACCTTGGTCAGATACAAAGAGTGTTTTCCATTTTAGCAGTACCTCTCTGAGATGGCTGGCCCGCTATTTGGTGGTTGATTCTGTCGTTCTGGTTCGCTTTATTTTTGGTTTGGTGGCAGATGACCCTATAATAATTAACTGTCATTATACACCTATCCCCCCACACACACACACAAAATTCCTGCCTCAATCAGCCAGAGGTTATGAAATATAGAAGGCCTCTAAAGACTTCCATTAGGAAGAAAGGAAGAGAATTGTTTTATTCATTCCGTGGAATTGGCAAAACACTTTCTCAGCAAATCATGTTGGTAACAAAGGTATTTAAGAACTACCATATTCTAATAGGTGAAACCATGATGTCAGAAACCTGAATTTTATTCCAAATGCTGTTTTATTGTTGTTTGTTAGTTTTTAAAATTTTTACTATAGGGCATGGGTGTGCACCAGAGAGAGACAGAGAGAGGAAAGTAAAATATACCTCCCCCAAAGCAGGGAAGGCCATGCCACAATCCCTTCTTCTCCATTCTCTTCCTGGGATGCACATATGCATGTACCCAGTGTTATTTTCTTTTCTCTCTTTTTTATTTTAATGAGAGCTTTTTTGCTATAGGACCTGTGTGCTCACTAGAGAGACAGAGAGACAGAAAGTAAGAAATCAGCCCCACATCCCAAGAGGGGATGGCCATGCCATAATCCCTTCTCCTCCATTCCACTCTTGGGATTTGGGGCATACATGTCCAGTGTGAGTTTCAAGTCACTGGGTCTGGGACTCGAATCTCCTTCAACTATGTGGGAGTCCAGTGACATAACCATTACACCACCTGCTGGTCCCAACCCAGTGTGATTCTCAAGCTGCAGAGTTCTGGGACTCAAACCGTGGTTGGCCATGTAGGAGTCCAACACCTTAACCACCAAGGGGCCAGCAGGTGGCATGGTGGTTAAGGTGTTGTTCCTTTCAGAGCCTTGCAGGGTTCTTTTGTGAACAGTGCTGTCTCTGTGGCATTGGCAGGAGGACTGGGTTTCCATTGCTGCCCTGGGCTGGGCTAATTCTGGGCACAACTGAGAGAGCCCCAAGATCCCAGATACTTTTGTTGGTGAGAGTGGCAGCCAAGCCCTAGCTGAAGGAGTAAGGGAGGGCGAGGGCTGTGTACGGTGCAGGGTGTGAGTTTGAACTGTGGGAGCTTATGAAGAATTTTCTATCAGGTTTCTTGCTCTCTCTCTTTTTTCTTTTAATTTTTTTTTTCATTTAATTTTTCCATGAGAGAGAAGGACAAGTGGACCTGGAGGAGAGGCATCCCTGACAGGGTCTTCACCCCCAGCCTCAGCCAGCCAGGATCTTAGGCACATTCAGCGAGACCAGGGAGGTCTCTGGACACAACCCCAGGACCTTTCTAATGTAGGTCTAGTTGCATTTATTGCTATGCCACCACCTGGCCGCTTAGACAGTTTGTCTTTAATCTGCTTCTGCAGACACCGTTGCCCTGGAACCTGCAGAGTCTGCCGCTAGAACCCTCTCTGCCCTGTGCTGGCAGCCTGGCGGTGGACAGCAGTCTCCTCTATTGCAAACTCTTTAGCCTGTGAGTGACACTCACGTAGGAACGGGCTCATCAGTGAAAGCAGCCGCATTTGGGGGAGGTGAGGCAGAGGTGTGAGGAGTTCAGGTACTGGGAAGATCTGGATCATTCTGTTCTGTTCTGCTAGAAATGGACATGGGCCTCTTCTCCACTGCGTGTTCCTGAGCAGCTGTTTGGCAGCTGCTCTGCTCCACCTCAGCAGTGGGCCAAACGACTCCACTGTCTGTTTATTGCAGAGCAGAAAGGGCCCCGGGATAAAATGCTCTGAATAAACATCAGATATTGTGAGTATTTTTGTTCACGGTAATGAAGCACATTATTATTTGCCAAGCACTGTGGCTTCCCAGCTGAGCGCTGGTGGGCCTGACAATGCCCCTGCAAGTCCAGCCCCTCCTCCCTTTGAGCTCTGGAGATGGGGAGGCTGCAGCCCAGCCGGAAGTTGTTTCCCCAGAAAGACAGTTGGGGTGCTTGCTTTGTGCCTAACCCCACCCTCCGTCCTGGGGCCTCAGAACTGCAGCCAGCTCACTGCCAAGTGCTGGTCCCCTCTCTTTCTCGTACAGTCCCAGGGACTGGTGTTGCATAGGGAATAAGCTTCCAGGATCTTGTGCTTAGATAGCACTTGCCAGAGTGGAGACCAGAGCTCTGTGACTCTAACTTTCTGTGGATTTGTCTGTAGTGCTTGCCTGCAGAGTAGATAGGACGTATTTATTACCACCTTTATTTTATTCACTGACTCATTTATTCCATGGTGGGTGGGGAGACAGGCCCTCCCAAGAGGGTCCTCACACTGTGAACACTCCCATTCTCAGATGCTGTATATCTGGTGTGCCCTGGGAGGTCCTGGGATGTGAACTCGGGACCTTTCCCATGTGGGTGCAGTTTTATGACCATTGCACCACCACCTGGCCCCACCACCTTTATTTTACCAACCAGGAAGCTGAAGCCTGGACTCGTGTGCTCAGTCACGGTACTGTGCTGGGTTTGAAGTCATCAATTGAGCAGATAGTTACTGTGCACTGGAGAACCAGACACTCACATACTCATTTATTTCATCTTTGGCACACCTGTGAGGTGGGCACCGTCATCCCATAAGGGAACCGAGGCAGCAGTTAGCGTAATGGCTATGTCGCTGGACTCCCACGTAGTCGACCGCGGTTCGTGTCCCGGACCCAGTGGCTTAAAACTCACGCTGGGCGCGTGTGCGTGCGTGCCCAAGATCCCCAGAGGAGAATGGAGGAGAAGGGATTGCGGCGTGACCATCCCCCCTGGGGGGTAATTTCTCGCTTTCTGTCTCTATGTCTGTCTCTGTCTGTCTGGCGAGCGCACGCGCCCTACAGTGAAAATCTCTCCAAAAAAAAAAAAGGGAACCGAGGCACGCAGATGTTAAGTAACTTCCAAGGTCCCACAACTAGACACCCCCAGAGCAGGATCTGCACCCAGCCGGTCTGTGCTCCCTTCTCAGCCCACTCTGCTGTGACCATGTGAGGAATTTACCCAACCCACGGCCAATGCCCAAGAACATGGGTACTGTTAGCCTCGCCACAGCGTTAGGAATGACTGAATCCACTCTCAGGAGAGTAAAATGAGGCATGGGTCCAGACCATGGTGCAGCAGTAAAGCACAGTGCTCTAGTTGGCTGAGCCTCGCGGGGAGGTCCTGGGTTTGCATCTGGAGGCCTCCCTGAGTATGCCAGGGAGGCTGAGGTCTGGGGTTGACTGACACTGGGGGTGGATTGTGGCAGAGACCCAGGTGGGTGCTGTCTCTCTTGCTCTCCGTCTTTCTTACTCATGGAAGAAATAAACTAAACATTAAGTAAGATGAAATGGGCACTGAGTAGTGAGAGGATTTACCCGAATGTTCCTGGAGACAGGGTCAGAAGTAAGGCCTCTCACTCTCGGGTGTAGACACAGCCGAGCAGCTGCATGTGTCCATTTCACCTTTGCACCCAACCTGAAAGGATTCCTGAGACAGCCAGGGGATCTGTCCTGCAGGAGTTGTTACCGTATTATCGGCACGTATGGAGAATTTTGTGCTGTGAAACAATGCCAACACAACTTTGTCAACAATGAGTGTGGAGGGGTCAGCAGGTGGCGTAATGGTTAAGGCACTGGACTCCCACATGGCTGACCACAGTTCGAGTTCCGAATATGCTAACTAGAAAATTACACCAGACGTGCGTGTGTGTGTGTGTGTGTGTGTGTGTGTGTGTGTGTGTGCCCAACATCCCAAGAGGAGACTGGAGGAGAAGGGACTATGGCATGGCCACCATCCCCACTGGGCGGTGATTTCTCACTTTGCCTCTCCCTGTCTCTCTCTGGCAAGTGCATACACCCTATCGCAAAACCTTAAAAAATAATAATAATGAGTGTGGTTCCGTTAAGGTCAAACTGGAGCTTTTTGGGTCTTTAGTTCTTCTACATCTTCTTGCTTTTGTTCTCGTTACAAACCTAACAGTTTTCTCACATTGCTGTGAGCTAGCCTGTGAATACGTTATTGAGGGCTCGCTAAGGAGACCGGACTACCGGTGTAAGTAACAGTAACTGAAAGCAGGGGCAGGGCAAGTTCAGGCTCTGAAGAGAGACAGCTCAGGCCTGGACTAGGAAGTCCTCAGGCCTTGCCGCTAGCTCCTCTGGCTGGCCCTAGGTCTTCGAAACAGCCCCGACAGCTCTCTGAGCCACAGTTTGCCAAATTACAAAATGAGGTGGGGAAATGCGATCTCCAATTTCACTCCCAAGCTGATGGCGTGTTGGTCCCTAACCCGGCAGTTTTTATATCCCCCTGCTAAGATGGTTTCTGCATCCCGAGTCAGGTTCTGATGCTTGTTCAACGAGGCCCCTGGAGACAGGTTCCCTTTGGTTATAGGCAAAGTGGATCTTCAGGCCAGACCAGGAGAGTTCTAAGACTGGAAATAAAAATAAGTTGATGAAAAATCTCCTGGAAGAGTCAGCAAAGCTCTGAATACCGAGATTCCACCCACACTCTTTTGGTCGACTTACGCATCCCAAAGCGGAGTATTTGAAAGCTCTGCTGTCTCAGAGGTCATGAGCAAGGCAGAAAACTCATGCTCCGCCTGGCCCAAAACTCTCTTCGACTGTCACCTCTGGATGACGAGGGGCGTCGTGTGCTTTATACTGCGATTCACCTTCTTTTTTTAAAAAAAAATTAATAATCAATTCATTAATTTTTGTTACAGGACATGTGCACTCACCAGAGACAGAGAGAGAAAGTGAGAAATCACCCCCCAGAGGGGATAACCCCCCCAACCCCCTCTACTCCACTTTCCTCTCTGGATTTTGGGCATGCACAATACAGGCTCCCGGTGTGATTTTCAAGCCACCAGGTCCAGGATTCGATCCGTAGTCGGCCATGTGAGAATCCAGCACTTTAACCTCTACACCACCTGTTGGTCCCGTCTTTGTTTCACTGGAGTAAATCATAGGGGGTGGGAGATTAAGAAGAAACGTGACAAAGAATTTTCTTCATCCTTATAAAAATCAATATCATGGCCAAAACGTAGGGTCACGGGGGTTGAACGGGATTTCTAGGCCGTCATTGATTCTACGGCCCTGATAGGACTAAGTCCACCAGCCGTATGGATTTGCACAAGGCTCCAGAAAAGCCTGCCCAGCCGTGCGTCTGGCCTGCGGTGTCGAGGCATGGCCCCTCAGCGCGCTGTGTTTACTGCCCTGCCGTTCCAGGCGTGCAACGAGTTCACCACCCACGTCATGAACCTCCTGCGAGAGCAGAGCCGGACCAGGCCCATCTCCCCGAAGGAGATCGAGCGCATGGTGAGCATCATCCACCGCAAGTTCAGCTCCATCCAGATGCAGCTCAAGCAGAGCACGTGCGAGGCCGTCATGATCCTGCGCTCCCGGTTCCTGGACGCGCGGTGAGTCCCCGACCCGGCCGGAGCCCACGGGCAGCTACGCTCAACCTTCCAGTGTCACCTCCTTCAGGGCTGAGCCGAGTGCTAGCCTGAGGTCATTGTGGGTCTGGTAAAGGCAGGCTGCAGGGTTGGGAAGGCCCGTGGTTTCATACAGACCAGGGCGGTCCACAACGGAGGGGTGAGCCCCACCCCTGCTTTTGTGAGTGAAAGAGGAAGAGAGAGAGAGGGAAGAATGAGGGAGACGAGTTTTTTTTTTTCTTTTTTTTTTTGGAGAGGTTTTTGCTATACGGCGTGTGCGCTTGCCAGAGAAACAGAGAGACATGGAGAGACAGAAAGCGAGAAATCAGCCCCCAAAAAGGATGGCCACACCGCAATCCCTTCTCCTCCATTCTCCTCTCAGGATCTTGGGCACACACGCACACGCACCTGGCAAGAGTTTAAGCCACCGGGTCCAAGACTCGAACCGTGGTCGACTACATGGGTGTCCAGTGACATAGCCATTACACCAACTGATCCCAGATGAGTTGGCTTCGCCAAGGCACTATCCTTGTGTCCTTGCCTCCCAGTGAGCAGAGATGACAGACATGTGGCACTGCTCTTGCATGTTCAAGTTGGCCCAAAAACCATGGTCTCCAGACTTGCGAGTGCTGGTGCTATTTGTGTGCCACGGTGGCCGGGCTGGAGGGGATGCTTTTTACCTCCACTGTTTTTCACACTGGATAATAGGCCAGAATGACTTAGATATCATGAGCGAAAAAGCAGGATGTTTGTTTTCATAGCACTGGGCACCTTGGTTACAGGTGCATCTCCTACCCGGGGCCCATGGCCGTCTTACTAGTGCTCCACAGGGACGCACTTTCTCCAAGAAGGGCAGCTCCCTTGGTTGGAAAGCTGGGTCTCCCTCACGCTGTGCGTAGGCAGCGAGTGCTCTTGGTCCCCTTAGACCCCTCTCTGGAAGCGAACCCCCTGTGCACACTCCAAGGGAGGTTTAAGAGCACAGAAAGGACACGGTACTTTGGGCACAGAGAGACGAGGAGGTCTGATATGGGACAAATAGATTGGATGCTTCCTACCTGGCATTGCTTCCTGTGATGTTTCTTGTGCTTTTTTAAAAATTATTTTATTTAACAAGTGAGAGACAGACAGAGAGAGAGAGAAAGAAAAGGAAAGTGAGAAAGCAAGCTGCCAGGCCCGAGACTGGAACCATAGTCTGCTATGTGGGAATCCAGTGCCTTAACCACCACACCGCCTGCCGGCCCCTTCCTTGTGCTTTTCAAGTGTGCAGTTGAAGAAACTATGGGTAGAAAGGTCCTTTAATAAAGATGCAAGCTGAGAACAGAGAATGAGTCATTGGTCCTCGCCCCCCTCCTCTCTAGACCAATAGATTCATGGGAATCTTTCGATTCTTCTTGCACTTGTTATCCAGCCTGTAAAGTGGTGATAATCACATCTCTCATTTGCCTTGGAAGACCATTTTTATAATTGATCCAGCAAATACATTTCAGAGTGTGGGCGTGCTCTGTGACCTATAGGTCATCAGAAATTAGTCATCTCTTAGCAATGTGGCTATGATCGTTCATTATTTCAATTCCTGAAAATAATCCCAGTCGGCGATTTTTCGCATTAGAACATTAGCTACGTCAGGGTCACAGACCAGCTCGCCACCTACGGGTCTGTGGCTGTTCAACCAGAGACTCGGTGCTCCTCCTGGGTTTTCTCACTCCTGGAATCCTGTTATTTAGCTCTCCTCCTCACACTTTTCTCTCTCTGTACAGCCATGGTCTTCCCAGTCTATGGGCCTCTTCAAAACTCCCTGCATCTTCTCCTAAAGTCGTTTTTATTCAGTGTGTTTTGGGTTGCATGGAACACAAAACTGGAATGCCAGCTCCCCAGGTGGACCTCTGAGCCAGTAGAATAATGTCGAGTAAGTGGAGAGGAAGTGGAAACGAATCTAGCTCTCCCCGGCTGGATATAGCGAAGACAGCCTACGACGTCCCCCCAGAGCGGGGCCCTCTGGGCACCCCCTTTGCCATGTGCCCCAGAGCTACCAGCCTGGCTCCTTTAATGCAGCCCCGTCGCGCACGATGCCGAGTGCGGGGGACTGGTGGCCTCTGTCTGGGTCCCTCCCCTGCGCAGCGGCTGCCACCACACTGCATGTATTGCTTGCATCCCCATGGTAACGCACCTAGTTAAAATGCTGGAGTTGGTATTTATCTTGGCAGATACTGAAAAAAAAAAAAAGTTGGGACCAGACCGGGTTCTTTTTAAGAAAGAAATTGGAGAGAAGGGAGGAGAGGAGTCATTGTCTCAGTGGATTTCTTCTCGCAGTTATTCTGCTGTGCCCCGCTGAAGGGCAGACTTGGAACTAGGCAAGCTTTGTACACAGCCCCTTTCCCATCGCCCAGAATGCTCCAGTTGGCACCAGAAGGACAGTCACAGTAAGACGGGGTCTCTTTCTTGCTTCAGTTTCCACCTTTGAATCATTGTCCATGAGCCAAGATTCAAAATGCAAACAACTAACCAATGCACGTTGTTATCATTTTATTTTGAGTGCATATTTATTACCAGGGAAAGACTGTAACCCCAAATGCCAGCTCAAGGCCGAGTTAATGGTGCTTCCAGCTCAAAAATAAATGTTTGCCTGCACTTCCTGATAAGGAGTTCACATCATGGCCTCGGTGTCAGAACTGTAACCGGGAGAGGGCTACGCAAATCTTAGAGGAAAGACACGCAGCAGGTGTTCACGAGCTGCTCCAAACCGTGTGTCCAACGGGCATGGCCTCATCCAAAAAAGAGTTCATGGGAGACAAATGAAGTAAGAGCGGATTCCATTTAGCAGTAGGATTAAGCTTGGGCATCTGCTCGGTGTACGGAATTGAATGTTCCTCCATGGGTGTAGACTCCTGTATAAACGTTCCACGACTGCATAACAGGCTGCCACCTATTAGCTGCTGAAATACGCTCTAGTTGTATCTCCCATTCTGTGTCAGGGTCTGGGCCCAGCTCACATAGATCCTCTGTTCTCAGCCAAGCTATAACCGAGGGACCGACTGAGGCTGTGCCCTCTGAGGTCGGGGTCTGGGCCCAGCTCACCTAGACCCTCTGCTCTGTTCTCAGCCAGGTATAACCGAGGGACCGACTGAGGCTGTGCCCTCTGAGGTCGGGGTCTGGGCCCAGCTCACCTAGACCCTCTGCTCTGTTCTCAGCCAGGTGTAACCGAGGGACCGACTGAGTCTGTGCCCTCTAAGGTCAGGGCCTGGGCCCAGCTCACCTAGACCCTCTGCTCTGTTCTCAGCCAGGCTGTAACCAAGGGACCGGCTGAGGCTGTGCCCTCTGAGGTCGGGGTCTGGGCCCGCCTCGTCTAGACCCTCTGCTCTGTTCTCAGCCAGTCTGTAACCGAGGGGCTGGCCACAATGTCATCTCATCCAGGCACAGGGGCCTCTTCCAAGCTCACTCTGTTCGTTGGCAGAACCGCAGTCCCTCATGATTGTACGACTGGAGGCCTCAGTCCTAGGCGCCGCCCTTCCTCATACGCCATTCACCACTGGGCCAGTTGCTTGCTTTCTTCCGGAAGGCCAGCAGGAGAACTCTAGCTGGATCTCCCATCGACTTTATCTGAATCTCCCTTTTCATGTACTCACGTCAGCTAATTGGTAACCTAATCCTAGGAGGGATACTCTGTTCCAGTCAGTCCAGGGGAAGAGGTGTGCATTAGGATCAGGAATCTTAGACTCTGCTTACCCAGGATCACTTGGCCCACACAAGCCATAGCCTTTCCCTCTTCCTCACATTAACTTAGCCTTGCCAGGAAGATTTAACTTAAAAACCCCACTCGTTCATTCATCATGCATTCATTTGTTCATTCATTCAGTGTTTATCATCTCATGCTACGTACCAAGCATTGTGCCATACAACTTGGTAAGTTATTGTCAAGACTGTAATAACATTTCCTTTTGTTAAAGCGAAAGGGAGAGAAAGGATTTATAAATCCTCTAAATGAATTTCAAGCAACAATTTTTTTAAAAGGTTTTTGCCATAGGACATAGATGTTCACTGGAGAAAGAGAGAAGGTGAGAGGGAAAGGGAGAAATCACCCCCAGGGGGATGCCACACCACAGTCCCTTCTGGGATTTTGGGCACACATGCACACATGCCTGGTGTCAGTTCTAAGCTGCCTGATCTGGGACTTGAATCACTTTCAGCCATATGGGAGTCCAATACCTTAACCACTGTGCCACCTGCAGTAGTATTGTTTTTGTTTTTTTCCAGAGTTATTCATTTCATTTTTTTTTTTTTTTTTTCAGAATTATTCATTTCATTAAATTAATTAATTAATTTATTTTCATTTGACCAGAGAAAGACAGACAGAGAGAAGGAAAGTGAGAAAGCAAGCTTCCAGGTCTGGTACTCAAACAGTGGTCAGCCATGTGGGGATATCCAGCACCTTAACCACCATGCCACCTGCTGGTCCCATTCCAAGCAATAGTTTTCACTTTCATTCTGTAATGTTTTGCTGGACATACCAGTAATAACACCAACAGGTGAGGAAGAGTATACCAAGTATACCTCTGCACTTCCCCCTGATAAGATGACATGGAATGACCAAAGAGGAGCATGGCTAGAAAGAGGAGAGGACACCCCCTAAGGCTCGTCACACTGGCATAGTATTTAAACATTTTTTTAACCTAATCAGGCACCTGCCATCTGCCAGATGCCACATTAGCCACTAGAATAGCAAAGATGAAGAAAATATCCATGAATGTCCATCCCACCTTCACAGGGCTCTTCCCCTTATGGGACAAACAGCCTAACCTACAATGGCACGTTCCACGGTTCAGTGCCTCAATTTCCTAACCTCACCTGAAGGGAGAGAAGAGACAGAAATGACCCTCAGAGGAGGAGAGTGTTTGCTGAATAATAGGAATAATGTGAGCAAAGTAAAACAGCATAATTCACCCTCCAGAAGCACTGCTTCTACTGGCTGTTAGACACAGTGGGATGGG